CCCATATGGAGCAGGGAAGAACTGAACACTGATTCCAAAGGGCAAGGCCCTCCAATGCGGACTCACGTGTTAGTTTCCAAGTCTGCCACGGTTTCTCTATGAAGACACAAATACTCTCATTTCGTTCTGTTTTCTTATGTGGAAGGATACACACTGTCATGGACCAGGAGATTCTTCTGTGTGGGCTTTAGGAGCACGGCTTCCTTGTTGCTGCTAGAGCTGCACAGTGTTCTCTTGCGTGGCTGCACTGTTATGTATATAACCGGTCCCCTAAGGATGACAGTGTACAATGACCTCTCATACATGTAAATATTTATGATAAATTTTGAGACATAGGATTATTGGATGATAGGGAAGCTGCATTTGTAATTTTGACAGATATTTTCAAAGTACCTTATTAAGGAGGTTGTTGCTGTGTGTACCCTGATAACTGGCTTCACAAACTGTGTAGTGTCCAACTTAATTTTTGATGATCTGATAAGTAAAATACAGAATCTTGTTGGAGGTTTAATTTGAACTTCTTTGGATATGAATGAGATGTAACATTTTGTGTTGAATAGCAATTTGTATTTCCTTTATTGGGAAGTATCTGTTCATTGTATTTGCCCTTCGTAGATTTTTAGGAGTTTTTCATACGTCAGGAAACTTACCCCTTTGCCTGTAATTAATAGGTTCCAAACATTTTCCCTGGTTTGTGACTTGTCTTTTGACTTTGTCTTTGGCGTATTACAGAGAGGTTTTTTCTCTTATGTAGTTGAATTTACCTTTCTTTGTTAATGCCTCTGTATTCTGAATTATAGCTAGAAATGACTTCCCTGTATAGAGGAATCTTTATTTTTTTAAAAAATATTAAAAATGATCTTTTACTTTTGATTGTTGATTTCATTGCTTTAAACAAAATCAAAACTTTTAAGCTTTTATCCACATATGGTTTATCCTGGTATGGATTCAATTCTACTTTTTTTCCTGATGGCTCCCTATTGTCCTGTTAGCATTTTCTGAAAAGCTCATATTTTCCTTTACTGATATGACCAGATATCATGTAGACCAAATTCATGATTCTTTCTCTTCTGCTTTGTTGTCAGTCTATTTGTGTACCTCCACAATACTGTTATTACCGTTGACAATTTATAATTTTTATAAATGTAAGTATGACTGGTAACCCCTTACTGGTCTTCTCTTTTTTCAGGGTGTTTGTGAAGGCTACTATCGCTTCACCTTCCCATAGGAACTTCAGAATCTGGTTTTGTCTTGTCCCAGAATAATAATAGGAGCAGTAAAAAAATAGCATCTGTTGCCTGTTTTTATAGTAAAGAAGAAAAAAGTCTTGAAATCGTAGGCCCTGTGTAGTCAGGGACTCCCGCGAACAGTCGTGATTTCCCGGGCATACATCTTACCCCTGTAGGTGTGTGCATCTGCCGGGAGGAGGTCAGAACTCTCAGAGCAGGGAAGAGCATAGCCTTCCGTCCCCCGTTTTACACGCAAGTAGGGATTTGGTAAAAGAAGGAAGGAAACAAAAACTAGTAGCTATTGAATTACTTGGATAGATTATTTTCATTATTTACATTGCAGATTGTGATGGGATTTAATACAGTAAATGACCACCTTTGGTCACTGTGTATCAGTGGTAATGATTTACTATTCATGTTTAGCCTTTTAAATTACTCTTCCAACTTCGTTGCCCTTCAAAGAGCCATTTAAGTGGAGCTTCACATTTTTTTAATATCCCGCATTGTTGGAAGGCAAAGTTGGAGCTATAGTTATGAAGCTTAAAAATGGAAGAATGTGATGGATTATGTTCAGGTAACAGAGATTTCATTTTAAGGGCCTTTCTGCCTGCTTTCGATAGTAAATCCTGTTCCCAGAGTGAATACTTCTTCACTAGAGAATCAGTCATTGGTCACTTTTAAGCACCTAACTTTTGGGCTAGTATTAAAATTTTTTTGAGGTATAGCCCTTTTAAGAAGTAAGTCATGGTGTTGATATATGTGAAGAATGCCCATAAATTGCTAGAACTTAACCATCACTATTACCCAGATATGAGACAGGAGCCTCTGCTATTGTGTCAAAAGTCTAAATTGGACTTCTAAATTTGAGATATTGAAATGGCTTAAATTTGGGCATTATCTGCTCTGTACAAGCTAGCTAGTCTTTTCTGGTATACTTCTCTTCAGTTTGTATAGTTGACTGTATAAAGCACATCACAAATATTAAGGCTAAATATATTGATCTATAAATGGAACTTTAGAATCTGTTAAGATAATCCTGATAAGAGAATTTTATTGGCCTTCTCACTTTAAAAAGTTACAGAACTGAGATACCTGCGTTGCAGCTTGGTCACATTCTCCAAGCATGCGTGGGTGGCAGGGCACATGGTAACCATCCTGACCCGCTGCACTGCTCTTAGTAGACTAGCCAGCCACGCTCTGTTCGCCTTATATTCTCATGGGAAGGAATGTTTATAGATGAATAAATTGGTTTGGTTTCTCTTTATCTTGACATGGGTGCCAAATAAAATTATATGCTTTTGTATTACAAAAATGATCATTCTCACATCATTCTAAGTGTATATTAACTGAGCTGGGAGTGTCTAGTGTGTGTCAATCAGCCACACTGAAGCTTCATTGCGTTTTTGTCATTTTGTAATTCTGAGTATACCACTAGAAAGTAAGCTTCTCTGCACTAGAGCATAATGCTCCACAGGACAATGATTTTAGTATTTTTTTGTTTTAATCACTGGTATACCCCAAATGCATCAAGATAATGCCTGACACATATTGGGTGCTCAAAATATTTTTTTAATATCTGAGTAATGGTTAGAGTCAGACTCCTGGATGCACAGCCTAGCAACTCCCCATTAATGAACTGTGACCTTGGGCAAGTTTTACCATCCTGTGCTTCTGTTTCCTTATCTTTAGAATGGGGATGATAATGCTACCAAATGCAGAATTTTTGTAAGAAATGTACAGTGGTTGCCTTTGCTATTACTGAATAGTCAGGGTTACCTGATAGGCTGCTTTAGCATGTTTTTATTCTGTGTTTATTCTGTAGTATTTATTTTACTGTGACTTAAATCCTTAGCCTTAGTTTTTTTGTCTGAAACGTAAAGAACTGATTGGAGAGTAACTTAAGTGTCTTATGTTCTGGCTCCTCTGGCTTAAATCACTTTTTGAACATGTACTTGGAGGCCATCCCAAACCCATCTTTTGGTAGCTTCAAATACAAGAAGGATTATATTGAACCAAAAATTCTCATTAAAGAATCCAGTGGTTCATGAGCCTTGAAAAACAAGTCTATCTTCATCCATGTAGTAGTACCCTAAAATACTTGAAAATGATTATCATGTCCCCTTGATGGCAGCTCCAGACTGATCATCCCTGAAGCAAACTCGACCTCCTCTTAGCATCCTGATCCCTGACAACTGAAGTTCCCATTTCTGGCTGTTACAGAAGGGGAACGTTATTGTCTCATTTTAGGTTCTGGATGTCTTCAAAACCATAGGATGCGGAGAGAGTAGGATGTGAGCTCTGCAGCACAAGAGTTAGTTCATAACTGTCAACTAAGTCCGCCAAGTCTTTCCTACATGTGTCGTGTACCTACCCCATTTCATACCCATTCATTTGGTCTTGCAGGTACAAGCATAGAATTTCCCTTTCATTTTGTTAAGTCTTGTAGCTTGCTTTTCTTGTTCCACTCTGGGACAGTCCCCACCTTCCTCCGTTCCCACCTACTTTTCATGTGTCATGGCCGATGTCTGACAGTTTACAAAAGTATGAATATCTGTACCTATGTAGGTTTTGTTGTGTTTTTTTTTTTTAATTTTTTTTAATATATTTTATTTATTTGAGAGAGAGAGAAACAGCATGAGAGGGGAGAGGGTCAGAGGGAGAAGCAGGCTCCCCGCTGAGCTGGGAGCCCGATATAGGACTCGATCCCAGGACTCCGGGACCATGACCTGAGCCGAAGGCAGTCGCTTAACCAACTGAGCCACCCAGGCGCCCGGTTTTGTTTTCTTTATTGAGAAAGAGGAAATCACTCATTATACTCTGTGGGTTTGATATGCCTTGTTTGATCAGGTGCAGCGTATTCTCTCTTACATACATACACAACAATCTATTGTACCTTGACATTTAGGTTGTTTTCAGTTTGTTGCTGTTAACAGCACTACTGCAGTGCGTTCTCTCAGGCATGTTTTTGTGTCCTATAGAACACTTCTCTTTCCAGACTTTCTTGGTAGGTTTTATACATTTATTTTTCCAAATCAACTTTAACTTACCCTTCTAAATTCCAGTCTCATTGGTATTACATTGAATATATACTTTGAGGACTGACATCTTAATGATTATCAAGCCTTCTCATCAAACATAGAAATTCCACTGGAATTTAAGTATAATTCACATTTTTTTTATGGTTTTAGGCATGCTTTCATTTGGATTCCAAAACACAATTGGAAGACATATGCAATGGTTTTCCCCTTTCCCTGATTCTATGAAATGGGGACTTAATAATGTTGAGTCTTAAGTGTATGATCATTGTTTTCTTGGAATTGCCGAATTTCTTATGTTTGCCCCTGTGGTAAGGTAATTCAGTTGAAAGCCATTTAAAGTTTTACACAAAGACCATTTGGATGATATTTTGAGTTTTCACTGCTTATACTGAACAAGTAATCAATAGTATAAAAGCAGATAATGTGGTCAACAGAAGTATGTTTAGTCACTCTTCAAATTCATCTTAATTTTACTAAGTTTGCTTGGCACTGAAATTTTATACTTAAATTTTGCCAGTAAGAATGAGGATCCTAGGTACAATATGAAGATATAAAAACATGATTGTCAAATTTAATAGAAAATCATCTGTTACAGGGTTATCTACAAAATGTTCCATATTTTTGAAATTAAAAAATCTTTTCCAGAGCCAAAATCAATTTTCAAATATTTTTCTTTCCACTATTAAGAATCTTTATAGAGTTTCTTAAGTGACTTTCTTTTTTCTGTTTTCAGAGAAAGTTTCATTGTGCAAATTTGACTTCATGGCCTCGCTGGCTATATTCCTTATATGATGCTGTAAGTATTACCTGGTACATTTTTCTTTCTACGGTAAGGCTTTTCATAATTAAGGGTCATTAGAATGAAACATATGCTTTCATACTCAGTGGTATCTCATTTTCAGAACTAATGCCATCCTTTACATTTAAGTAGAGCATCCTTTACATTTAGGTAGAGCATTTGCATCGGATACTACTGGACTTACTTTGCCTTTAATCTATAGAATTTTTCATTTTCCCAGTTTCTAGTGGCTTATAAATTCAGGACAAGATGAGACATTTTGGGGTCTATTAAGGATTTGAAATGTGGTAAGTGTAGGTAGATTTAGAAAATTAAAGAATCCCATAACAGTGTTTGTTTTTTTTTCCTAAATGAATATATGAACTTATTATCTCCTGATCCCCAGTTAGTCTATTATATCCACAAGCATTTTGCTCCTCAAATTGTAATACTTCAGCATCACCATGCCTTGCAAAACTTAAACTGGAATTCTTCAAAGAATCTGGGTTTTAGACACAAACACTGTTCGAAGCTTTTCTATCATTTCCTCTGTGGCATGGGGCAAATTACTTACCTAAAGAAATTGATTTTTAAAAATGGGGATAATGATAGTCATTGTACTTGGCACACAGTAGGCATTCAACAAATGTCAGTCATTTCCCTTAGTGAATCACCTCACGCACAGATGTGGACTCTTGCTTGGGAAGACTAAACACTGAAGGTTGACACTTATCACAAGCACAACACTAAAGGAAACTACAGTTCACTCTGCCCTGCAGCAGCTTTGGGCCATTACAGATAACACAACAGACAAGTATTTGTGAAAAGATAGTAGGCACTCTTGTGTACTAAATAGGTGCCAAGTAAGGTATGTAGGTAGCAAGTGCTCGTGAAGTTTTTAGGAGCCACTATCCCTATGAACAGAGTCAGAAAAGCCGTCCTAGAAAGAGGGAGAAGGGAAACCAGTTCCACACAGTTGATCAAAGAACACTTAGAAGGCAGTGAGTCAGGAGCATGTGCCAGTAGGGAAAGAGACAGTGGAGGGGAGAGGCCTGGAAAGCTTAGTGCCGGGCACACAAGCTGGGGCTTTGATCATCTGAGCATAAGAAAACAGACACTTTTAAACTGGGACTCAGATTTTAGTAGAGTGAAGACTTAAATTGCTATTAATATATTAGTTTTATTAAAGAGAGTTGAAAATCTAGCAGTACGTTCTAAAAAGTCGTGAACCTTATTATGGCTGCTTTTACTTTAAACAAGGAAACTTTAATGGATAGAATCAAGAAACAGCTACATGAATGGGACGAAAATCTAAAAGATGATTCTCTTCCTTCAAATCCAATAGGTATGAAAAGTCAGCTTCCTTCCTGTGGCCTTTGATATTTTACTAAATTATTTTTCTGTTTAATGAAACCAAAAATTTTAATATTTTTATTCGCTCTGAAAACATTTGGGGCTTTTAAAAAAATGAGGATTTTTTAAATGTAACAAAGTTCTTAAATTTTCTGAGTAACCTTAAGCAAAGTTTTCCTGTTAAGTTCAAATTGCAGACGAGATCGGGCACATTCAGGGTGGTGTGGCCGTAGACCAAATTGCAGTAAACGGGGCACATCCGAAAACTTGAGTGTCAGAACTCTCCCTTTTCTTTAAGATGGCTTTCAAAAGGACCCTAATTCTAAGACTTATTTATCTTATGTTCATATCATTGCTCTGGTTATTAGGTCCAGTTACTGTAGCCATTTTTCTAGTCTTTTAGCAGATTGACTTCTTAAACCATGGGTTTGATTTTCATGTTTAAAAGACCAAAAAAAACCTGTTGATAAAAGTCAGAAACCCAAACCCTGGGGCACAGCTCTCTTGGACCTCGCTCTTCTCACATCTTGACAGTGTAATTTGGCTTCTATAGACTTTCCCGCCTATACTGCTAAAAATAAGTAAATAAAAGACATTTCTAAAACCAATTATGGGAAAATAAATTAATTTCAGAACTTCCTAAGAATATATACTCGATAGCTAGTGTATTTTAGTATTAATTATGTCAAATACATTCTTTGGGAGCCCTGTAGAGAGGGTTTATCTCAAAAAGACATTGATTCATATGTCATCTGTTACTTATCTGTTTCAAAAACTTGAAAAACCACCATGTCTTTAAGATTTTTCTTACAGAGTAGCTGCTTGTCTTCCTATTGATGATGTATTAAGGATTCAGCTCCTTAAAATTGGTAGTGCCATCCAACGACTTCGCTGTGAACTAGATATTATGAATAAAGTGAGTAAAGTGACCATGTTCGTGACACCTCTTTTAGGCTTGATTATCTATGGGACCCAGTCATGTAGTCATGCATTTAGAAAACTAGTTGTTTGCTAGTTTTACTTTGTTTTTTTAAAGATTTTATTTGAGAGAGTGAGTGAGCAAGCATGGGGAGGCGGGCAGAGGGAGAGGGGAAACAGACTCTCTGCCGAGCAGGGAGCCTGACACGGGGCTCGATCCCAGGACCCTGAGATCATGACTGGAGCCGAAGGCAGACGGTTAACCTACTGAGCCACTCAGGCATCCCGCTAGTTTTACATGATTTAGACATTTCATTTGGGATCATACAGATTGTTTTTACATCCCTCAAACACTTGGGAGTTTGTGAAAGCACTCCATTTCTACATGGAGCATCTGTGCCTATATGTATCTGTCACTCCTTGTCCTACAAAGTCAGTAGTTTTATGAGTGAGTGTCAGATCTCAGAGGTTTTCTTGGTCCTGCTTTAAAACTCTATTTTTGAATGATTGGAAGGAAAACATATGTATGGGATCAATACTTCAGAGAAGTTTCTTGGTGAGCTACGTAATTACATAATTAAACAACTGTGAATTTTCCCCACTAATTGTCTCTTAAATTTTTTAGTGCACATCTCTTTGCTGTAAACAATGTCAAGAAACAGAAATAACCACCAAAAATGAAATATTCAGGTGAGAGCTTTATTACATTTTCAGTATACTTCTGAATACATTTTCCCAACTGCTGTAACAGAGTTATGGTTAAGACCATATTATTTCCATTTCCCATAGATCTCCCCCTATTAAATAATAATCATTCAGCAAATGCAATGTGGGGAGTTAAGACACCCTTCCTGATTGGGTACTCAGCAGCAATGATTATGTAAGATATTCACAGGTAATGAGCATGGTAAAGTCAAACTAAGGGGCAATCCTTTTTTTCCCCATTCCTGCTTGATAATCTGTTTATCTTCTTAGTGATTAAGGGCCTAACATGAATGCCTCAGGTATGATCTTCCAGGCAGACATAGGGCCCAAAGGTAAAGTGGGACATGCTTCTGAACATGTACTGATGCTGTGTGACATAAGAGTTAAGAATTAGTACTTATTCATCATGATTATAAATCAGGACAGTAAAGAAACTGTTGCCTACAAGGTAATCAGTTGCCCAAGGATGACTAAATAGGACCTTTTCACTGTACTTCCACTCTGAGACTCCTTTAGATGAGCTCCCTGTTTTACAAACATGTAGACTAATGAAACTGGGCTCACTCCCAACCTCCTGTTCACATACTAAAGTTCTGATATTACCTCTTATAACCCCATTAGACATTTTTTTTCCTTCCCATTTTGACTTCTGTCTTGTAGTTTATCCTTATGTGGACCAATGGCAGCTTATGTGAATCCTCATGGATATGTGCATGAGACACTTACAGTGTATAAAGCTTGCAACTTGAATCTGATAGGCCGGCCTTCTACAGAGCACAGCTGGTTTCCTGGGTAATGTGGTGGTTACTTTTTGGGGGGAGTGGGTTTGCCTTAATTGGACAGAGTCCTAAGCAGAGTTGTTAGAATTGTAATCAAAAATAGACAGTGAGATGAATAATTCTATTTAAATGTTCTTCATTTTATGAATGGCTAGTAACAGCTAGTTTGGCATACTCTCACTAAATATAAAGTTAGAAGGTTGGCAGCTGCAGTTATCTTTAAATTAACTATACATTTAATCCAGACTTTTCATTTTCCTACTTTTCATTTTCCTTTTAGCTCATTCTGAAAACCAGCTGGCTTAGAATCCAGTAAAACTGTATGTGAACCATATTCTGTAATATGTCAAACCAGAGACTATTTCCCAAGCAATGACAAAACAGCTGGAAAGGCATTGAATCCTGGTTTTCATTTTTTTTCTTTCTTTAGCCCAGTGGCCTTCAAAGTATGAGCCTGGAGCTAGCAGCACCACCTGGGAACTAGTAAGGCTAAGGGAATGTGTTAATAGTCTTTTCTTCCAAATTCTGGGTCAGTCTTTTATTTTGAAAGAGGCAAGCAGAGTATGAATGATTATAATTGTCCTTTTGGGGACACCTGAGGAGCAAAGCTGGTTAAGCATCTTTTAGTTTCAGGAAGCCCCATGTCTGCTTAAGACCCCCCCCCCCCGCAAGGCTTTCTCTAAAATAAAAATAATTGCCATTTTGGATGTAGGACCATATCACTTGGATTGTCCAAGCTTATTTAACACCCTTATTAAGGATTAAAACTAGAATTAACTTGTTAATAGGTATGTGAGATATATATACCTAGGGAAGTAAGAAATGGTTTCAGTTAATATGGTTTATTTTTCTAGTTTGATTTTCTGGATGAATTTTCTGACAAAATCATTCTTCAGAAGTAAAGAAATTCATATAATGTCTCCCTCCCACCCCCCATTTTAACTCATAAGTGTATTTCTGGAGGTGGATAGTGTTTTGTAACATGACTGCAATACAAAACCAAGGAAAGGTACCTGCGAGTTAATCCATATTAACAAGATTAAGTTTTTTCTCAATGCCAAGAAAGAAAAAATAAACACAGCTTAAGAACACAATCAAATTTGTTTCAGGAAACCATATAGAATTTAGCTCTGTCTTGATAACAGCTTTATACAATGATAGGCTTGGGGTATAGAAATGTGTTTCCTTAGCTGATACCTTTCTTTAATTTTGTAGGTATGCTTGGACTATCGCCCAGTGTAGGATCTGTGCAAGCCATATTGGATGGAAATTTACAGCCACCAAAAAAGACATGTCGCCTCAAAAATTTTGGGGTTTGACTCGATCTGCTCTGTTGCCCACAATCCCAGACACTGAAGATGAGATAAGCCCTGACAAAGTAATACTTTGCTTATAAACAAATACAGTAGAGATAAAGTTATTTATCTAGTTGGTCTTGTAAAATCAGATCTGCTTTGGAAATTACTGCTTTTGATGCATACCTAAGTAAAAAGCAACATTACGTGGAAGGTTGCAGTTTCTTAGTCAAGGGTATTTGAAGATTTAAATTAAAATATACTATTGAAAGGGATGAAAAGCAGTCTAGAAAACTTGGTTTTTAGGAATATCTAGCTTGGTACCATTATACTCTGGCCTGCTAGGATACGAAGACCTTAGCAAAGGGAGGAGATGGGTTTTCTTGCGCCAAACATATTTGTAATTCCCCTAACTCGAGGTTAATCATTTGCTCCTGATACATGGAACCAACAGCAAGTTTTTAGAAGTTCCCAAAGCTAGGGTGCCAAGTACATGTTCCTTGAAAGAGGCAAAAATTTTCTTGAGTTTCTCTCACATTGATTTGTAAATTTTGAAAATATTAAAGAGTTAAAATATGCAGTTTGAGCCCCAAAATAGTGTTCATTTCCTTATGCATTATTAGTGAAAAACAGTAACTTATGTATTTGCTCAGTGTTTGTCTGAACGCCCTAATTATTCTGTTCCAAATTTCAATCTGAACCTAAACTAATATGGAACAGAGATACTAAAACATAACCTCCCTTCAATCAGGCTACAAGTGACTGTATTTTATAAGCACCTTTGTTCCATGTCAACTGAAAATCTAAGTAAAGTTTAATTGCAAACATATTACACATTTTCTTTGTTTAAATAATGTAGATTATTTACTCACAAGCTGATAATTTAAGCATTAAGATGAAGCTCTAGATACTGATTAGCCACCTACCTCTTTGCTTATATGTTCAAGTGCTGATTGGATCCTTTCACATTTGTGTAATTACCTTCAGTTTTCATAACTGGGCAAAGTTCAACTAATGGGGAGACTGTTAAGTCTCGTTTTCATTTATTAATATTTTCTTTTACCGAATGTGCAATGGTTGTGAGTGCCTAGACTAAAACAATCAACTGAAGATCTCACATTGCGTATGTATGTACAGGAGGTAAATGAAAAGCAATGTAGGACCTCCCCAAGTTGTAGGATTTTTGTAATACTACTGAGAACCTTGGGTTTACAGGACTATACTAGTTGTTCACATAGTCTTACACTATTCCAGTAGCAGTCACAGGGCACCCCGCTTTTACTTTTGCCACCTGAAGGGTGTAATCGCAGTGTTCTATTTTGTTTATTGACACTGGCCAATAAAATTTTCTGATATGTAAAAGAAATGCATATAACACTTTTAAATTGGTTTTATACATAACAAAACAAGACCTCTGAAATAGCGCTATCTCTGCATACTTCCTATTTAGAATAGAGATTCTATGATTTTAATAGGACTTAAATTACTGACTTGTCCCCACAGAGGACAGAGATGCTAGGACTGGCTATACAAAAAGTCAAATCAATTATAAAATGTTAGAATGTACCAGCTGAAACAATACTTTGCACCGTACAGCCCTTTACCTACCGAAAGCATTTAGGGCTCAAGCCTTTAAAAAGCATATGTACAAGCCTGGTCATGGATATTTTAATGTAGGCCATATCAATTCATGAAAAAAATTAATGACTAAAGGTACAGGAGAAACCTGATGTATACTGTCACATAACACATAAGCACATTTATCTTCCAATTCCAAAGGGAATGTTTATTAGAATGTTTATTAAAGGCTCAAGAGTAACTGTCAAGCCAGTCTTAGGCTTAGCATGCATAAAGAAATCATTATGACAAAGGGAAGTATCAACTACATACTAAAACTTAGAGCTTGCTAGAACATGTTTCGGGTGTATGAATGCCAGCCACCCAGGACATACCTGGTTTTCATAATTTTATACAGGATATTCTGTCAACTAATTTCAACATGTTTATTTTGTGTTGAAATTAAATTCACTTAAGTGTGTTAAATTCAAGTAAGAACACTTAAGACATTGATAAAATAATGTAGTTATTTCAATAGCAAACACTTTTTTCTTAAAGATAGTTACCACTTTTTAAGATCAGTAATGCACTATGCTGGGGGGAAAAAAAAAAAGCCTAGACAGGGGAAGCCAACTATACTATTCACAGCAGGAACTATTCCAGAAGCAGCACAAGGTTCAAGGATATAAATGAGATTCAAGAGGAGGTAGACGAGTTTACTGCCAGAAACAAAGACCTCTGTTGATCTGAGAAGGTCCTCCAAGCTGGCTTTCATTCTGCTATATAGTCAAGTCTCTTAAATCTCACTGAGAGGGAGAGAAGAAAACCTAGCCTTACCCCCAAATTTTCTATTTAGTGCCAGCTCTCATCAGTTTTCGCTCTTCTTTATGTAACTTAGGAGTTCATCTTTCTCCATTTGGTAGCCACTTTTTTTCCACTGTTCTCGCAACTGCTGCAACAGAGCCCCAATTTCTTTTCCTGAAGAAATGCCCACTTTTCTGATGTCATGGCCACTCACAGGAAATGGAGGAATGCACCACTGCTGCATCTGCTGCAGAAGACCATGCTCTCCCTGGTACTTCAGGAGTTCACACACGCGGGTCATTGCGTCAGATTCCCTAGACTAAGGGCCAAAATCAAACATTAAAGTTCCATCTCACGTTAGAATGCTTGCTAATGATCCTATCCAGAAAGGTAAATAAATAACCGAGGTGAAATTTTTCATTTAAAATAAATGAAATCCACGTAACACACTGTAGGTCTTAATATTAATAAATCAGTTCTGACCAAGCCTGTATATACTTACATCTATAATGAAGTCTTGATAGGGTTTCAGTGGCTCTGAACTATCCGTTGCTTTAACTAAATCTTTCCTGTTTTTAACTATGAATATACCAAGGTTCTTCTCTTCTTTTGAAATCTTCAACCTCAAATCCAATTTTGTGACATCATCCTGTACTTTGAATAATGAGGCCAAGAGAGTCATTGGCTTTGGTGAAAAACCGTCAGCATTTTTACTAACTTTGTTAAATTCTTCTAAACTCGCATTAGTAGGTAAGCCTGTAGGGACAAAAACGTTTTTCACCGATATTGATTTTTTACACTCGTATCCTCAACCAACCATAGTGTAGTATACAAAATGGCCTGTCACTACAACTCACTGATTCAATCTGATGCTCCATCTTACAGGTTAACCACTGGTAAACATTATTGCTATTCCCTCCCATAATGTCCCCACCTAGGGGAGTCCTAACACATGAGTTTCCGTTACTGACCTACATCAGGAGGTCCTGAGGCAGTGGTGGTGGAGTCAGACTCAGGGGAGACACTTACTCATGACTTCCCACTGACCTACTGTCACAGACCATCCACGCCCCACACTGCCACTGAAAACTGTATGTGACATACCCCCAAGTTTCCTGAAGTGTGCTCCAGCATAGACCACTGTTCTTTCTGAATATAATATTAATTTCTATGTATGTCACTCTTTCAGTGCTTTAGACGTATTAACTCACTGAATCTTTTAGCCCTTCTATTAGACGGATGCTATTACTCTCACACCCCTTTTTTGGATTCAGCAACTAATGATCATGGAACTAATCCAAATCACAAAGCTGACATCATTCAAACCCAGGTCTGACACCAAAGGCCACTGTGTCCCACCCCCGACCCCAAAGTTTATCTTATTTTAAAATACTGCATTTCTCTTTTTGGAATTAGTCAAACATTTTTCCCTATGAAATTTTAAACCAGATGTTTCATTGTAAAAAATTCAAATAGTTTATAACTTGCTCTCACCTATGTAAGGAGCCACATCAAGATCATAGAGGAGGTGAATCAAATGATTTACATGGTTACCAACAAGAATTTTTTTCAGTTCCACCCAAATCCTCTCTCCTGATATTCCAGCCAAGCCTTTCGCATTTTCTGCAATTGCTTCCAAAGTCTCAGAATCATGGTCACCAGGTTTGTCCACAATTCTCCCATAAAACCTACGAAACAAAATTCTCAGAGCATGTTACCTCTATGTTGGCATATCACTAGAAAAATCTTGTTTTTCATTTAACTGGTACTATTCCATACATCTAATATGAGACAACACAGATTTAGGTTTAAGAGGGACCATAGACATCATCTGGTCAAATCCTTACCTTCCTTTTGTTCCCAAATGACAAAACCTGAGCTCCAATAAAATATAACCTTTTTTTTTTAATAAGTAACTTTCTTCAATTAACAAGAACTAGAAACCTCTACTCACTTTCATTTCCAAATCAGTGACTGAGACATTTAGAATGGCCATCAAATGTACTTCCTGGAACTGGTACCTATACTGGATGAATAATGCAGAACATTCTTGGAAAGACTGGAATGCCATCAACAGAACAGTGTACAAAGCTTGCCTCTCTGTGCCCATCAGTACTTTTAATGAACAGTTTCAAATAGGACTCCTCTAGCTGCAGACAACGGAGTGTATTTCTAGCAATCTCAGAATTGGAAGCCTTAAAATACACCCATACTAACACATCTTTAAAATTCAGTTCATTAATAATGTAGATTAAATGACAGTAAATATGGATGTCAGTCTGTGTTCTATTTGCAAAGAGAGACTTTTGCAAATACTCAAATTTAAAAGAAGAGCATTTACTGACAAAATATGTAGGATCTGTTACAGAGTATTCTAAATGTGATCCCAACCAGTGAAAAATATTAGACATAAACTAGCCAGTTAGAATCGTTTTTAAAAACGGTTACAGCCTGGAGTTTAAAAATCAGGGCTATGCACAAAACCATCCAAATTAATTTCATGCTTTCAGCAAGTTCATCTAAGGGTTTCTCATGACCACCTAAAACTGTAAACCATATGAAGGCAAAGACACTCATTCCTCCATATTCAAAGCACCAGGAAGTGGTTGGCCTGTGGTAAACATTCAGTTATCTATATAATGAATGATCAGTGCAGGAAATAAACAGACATTTAAAAAATGATTTAAAGCTGAATTCTATAAAAGACCATCACAGAATGGAGTAAATATCTATGTTTTGGGAACGATCTCGCAGTTAAGTCACACTTTACTAATAAGTCTATCAGAAGCAGACATTTGGGATGTTACCATGTTATACTCTGACCTGCGCATTTCACATGATTGGAACTGTGCCCTGGGATATTAAAATCTGTACTATTAAAGTATTTTTTAAAAACTCTTACCGGAAATACCGTAAAATTCGAAGATAATCTTCTTGTATCCTCTGTTTAGCATGTCCAACAAACCTAACTTTCTTATCTTTTAAATCTTCATAACCATTGAAGTAGTCAAATAAGGTACCATCAAAACCTATTCATTAAAAAAAAGGGGAAGATCACTGTTAGCAAGTAAGAATTGGAAAACAAAATTCGCTTTTAAAAACTATTACAACTAGTAAAAGCTAAGTGAAGAATTGCAAAGTTAAAATACAGACATGAACAGCATTCATGCATACTTACTATCAAATGGAAGACCGAATGGAATAAAAGGCTGTATTTACAACAGTAACTAAAAAGGTAATGCCCAGGGGTGCCTGGGTGGCTCAGTCGTTAAGCGTCTGCCTTCGGCTCAGGTCGTGATCCCAAGGTCCTGGGATCGAGCCCCGTATCAGGTTCCCTGCTCCGCGGGAAGCCTGCTTCTCCCTCTCCCACTCCCCCTGCTTGTGTTCCCTCTCTCGCTGTGTCTCTCTGTCAAATAAATAAAATCTTTAAAAAAATAAAAATAAAAAATAAAAAGATAATGCCCAGAAATGAACTAAACAATAAACATGTCTCAAGTATGAACTGGGGTGTCTTATCTCTACCCCAGTTCATACTTGAGACATGTTTATTGTTTAGCTGATTTTCAAGTTAATATGGGAAAATAAACAAGAATAGCCAAGGTAATCTGGGGAAAAAAATAAGTAGCAAAAAGAATCTGGAAAAACTAAAACAATAAACCATAGGGGAAAAAAAAAATTATGACCCTGGGAGAAGACCTTTCAAAATACACAGTTAGGGTGCCTGGGTGGCTCAGTTAGTTAAGCGTCTGCCTTTGGCTGAGATCATAATCTTGGGAGTCCCAGGATCGAGTTCCACATCGGGCTCCCTAGTCAGTGAGGAGTCTGTTTCTCCCTCTGCCCTTCACCCAGCTTGTGTTCTCTGTTGCTCACTCACTCTCAAAAAAAAAAAAAAAAAAAAAAAATCTTAAACAGTTAATCCTTAAACACAGGTTTGAACTCTATAGGTCCACTTACAGGTGGATTTTTTTTTCCTGAAGACTTTTTTTTTTTTTTTGGCGAGAGAGAGCAAGAGACAGCACAGTGGGGAAGGGGGGCCAAGGGAGAAGCAGGCTCCCTGCCTGAGCAGGGAGGCCGACTCAGGGCTTGATCCCAGGACCCTGGGATCGTGATCTGAGATGAAGGCAGACGCTTAACCAACTGAGCCACCCAGGCACCCCTATTTTTTTTTTTTTTTTACAAGACTATAGATGTTTTTTCTCTTATGATTTTAACATTTTTTCTCTAGATTGCTTTATTGTAAGAACGCAGTATATAATACATAGAACATAAAAAGTTTGTGTTGTTTCTGTTCTCAGTAAAGCTTCCTACCAATAGTAGACTATTACTAATTAAGTTTGGGGGGGGAGTCAAAAATTAATATGCAGATTTTAGACTGCGTGGGGGTTTACCAAACAAAACTAAACACACACACACACACACACACACACACACACACACACACCCCAGAACCTTAAATAATTCAACCACCTAAAAATCAAATATACCTACATGACAAGAACCACCATAATGAAAAGTGTAAGATAACTGACATACTGAGAAAAAGACATGTAGGTCAAGATAGAGCCAAATACCTAACTTCCAGAATACACAAAAAGCTCTTGTAAATAAAAATACCACGTATAAATAGAAGAATTAGCTAAAAATATACTAAGGAAACGAAAAAAGCCTTTAAAAATGAAGAATTTTTGGAGAACCTGGGTGGCTCAGTTGGTTAAGCTCAGGTCATGATCTTGGGGTTGTGAAATTGAGCCCCACATGGGCCTCTGCACTTAGCTGGGAGTCTACTTAAGATTCTGCTTAAGATCTCTCCCTCTCCACACCATTCAACCGTCCAAATGGGGACGTCGGTGATCCTGAGAGAGATTTTACTTGTGCTCTCCCAGAAGAGAAGCACTGCCACTCCTTCTGAAAAACTACTTCTCAATTTAGTTCTGTCTGAACTTTCATGCTGCTTGATATCCCAAATGCAAAAATAATAGTAAGCTCAGGCTTAACACTTCCCAAATTGTTTGGATTTATATGGCATTTCGATATGTATAGCAAAATCAAAAGGCTCCAAATTCAAAGAAATAACAGAATATGGGGGGGGAAAAGGAAATAGGCTAAAATATGATTACAAAGTAGCAAGTGCACGTGGTATATCTGACTCTTAATGATAAGACTGGACTCTCCCTGCTGAGCATGGAAGTACTAACAAAATTTGGAGGGAAGAAAAAAAAAAAAAAAACACAGGATAAGGTAAGAGTGAAGTTTGAGAAGCAAAGTAACCAGAAATGCCAGAACTCGGAATGCTTCATCAAGGCTTGAAAAAAGCCTGGATGGAAAAATGGGTTGAAAGTAAAAATTAGACTATCCCATCAGTGTGCACTTCATCTTTTGCTCTGAATAGCATTTTCAACATATGGTGCATAAAAATAAGAAATAAAGTTGAGCTGCTAAGAATAATGTAGTGGTTAAGAAAGTGACCTCTGGAGCCAGGATGCTTAAGTTGGAATCCTAATTCTGCAATCTACCAGCTGAATGACTTGAAGCAAATTACTGTGGGTTAAACAGCAGTACCTGCATCATAGGGATGCAGGGAAGATTAAATTTCTGTGATGTGCACAGTGCCTGGCATATTATAAGGACTCAGGAAATGTTAGAAAACAGTAGTACCAATAAGAATAGCTTTTATTTCTATAAAACAGTATGTTGAAAAGGAATATTAGCTTCTCTCTTTTAGTTAGGTATGCTTAAGAGAAGCCAGTTACAAATTTTATACATTGCACTAGTTGGAGTTTACCCTAAGTCAGAATGAGCTAAGAAGAAACAAACACCTGGAGTTTGATCACATAATGGAGAGAAAACATGTCCCAAACTGGGCTCTCTCTTGTCAGAAATCACCTAGGCTTTGGAAATCCAAGCTTCAAATCATGGTAGTCTGTGACTTAAGCTAAGCTCTTAACATCTCAGTCTATTTCTCACCAAATGGATTTAATACTTAATGAAGTTTTTCTGACAGTTCAAAGCAATAAAGTGTATCAAGTAACCGAGAACCTAGTAAGTGCTCTGGAAACACACCATTAATGCAATTAGCATGAGATTCCCATCTTGGCATATAGCCCCCTTCTCCATCCCATGAAGCAAATCCTATTACAGGTTTTCCCCACTATCTCTAAGTTCACTTTAGGCCGCATCACCTTTACAAAAGACCTACATTAATACCTGTTTTTGTTAACCAAAAGAAATCTGGAAGAGGATTTTCATGTTGATGAAACAATAATTGCTTCCACACCTTATACCACTTCAACTTGAAAAAAGTTACACAGGGTACTTTTGGGTAGCAAGGAACCTGTCCTTCATCCTTTCACTATTACTGCAGCCACAACTAGGTTATGAAGAGTGGTTGCTTCAGCTCTTTTCTAATCCAGTCTTAAACACAAAGGGCTTGACTACAATTTATAGGACAAAAAATAACGCTTCAGTAAAGCACTAACTTAATTCACCTATTATGAGTCTCACTGGTTTCATTAACAAAAAAATCAAGTTGAGATGATAAATAGGTTCTCTCTTGCATGCCAACTCTGATTACAGGTGAGTCCTAAAATGTAATGCTATGAAAGAATCGGACCTTGTGTCTGGGCACGGCAACAGAAAAGGTGTTGAGGTCATTCACGAGTGTGTGCCATGGGCACCAGAAAAGAGGAAAGAAAGGCTAGTGTGGGCATGCACAAAAGACAGTGCAATGGAGAATGATACGGGGGATGTATGTGGGTGCACTTTTCTTACCTGAAATGTTAACCATTTTTAGATGCAATTAATAAGTGAACATGGAATGTGTACATGTGCCAAGCACTGTTCTAAAGACGTGTAATTACTAACTCCGTTAATCCACAGGACAGCCTTGCAAAGGAAGCAGATATTAGCATCCTCATTTTACAGCCAGTGAGTCAGAGTCAACATTTGAATCCAGGACTTTTGGCTCCAGAGTCATCTTTTAACCCATATGCTACACTCTCAGATAAAACTAATGCAACCTCTCCGGCTGGAGAACATTTCCAGGATGCAGATTCAATTGAAAAGGCAGCTTTCAGGGGTTAAGCATCCAACTCTTGGTTTCAGTTCAAGTCATGATCTCGGGGTCATGGGATCGCACCCCACGTTGGGCTCCTTGCTCAGATCAGGGTTGGCTTGGGATTCTCTCTCCTTTTCCCTCTGCCCCTCACCCCGCTCTCAAATAAATCTTTAAAAGGGGGGGGGCAGCTTTCAGAAAGACTGCATTAAAACATTATCTCCAGATATTACCTAAAAACATAGAATTTATAGTGAGATCTCTGCGTTCAGCATCTTTCTGCCAATCAGTTGTGAATTCTACCTCTGCATGTCTTCCATCAGTGACAACATCAATCCGCAGTGTAGTAATTTCAAAATTTTCTTCATGAAGCTGTAATGAAATGTTTAGTTTTTAGTATCACTGGATGAATTGAAAAAAATAAATGAGTCCTGACAAGTATATCTTCTTTCTTTTCAAAGTCACCTAGTACACATGTATCTTGAAACAGAAAGACACAAGCAATATTCAAGATAGATCCAAAGAATATTTTTTTAAAAATAAATCCATCTTAATTAAAAAGGATGAGTCTGACATTAAAAAAAAAAAAAAACTCCAACAAATGTTGTGGCAGAGAACAGAAAAGGCCCTCAAAACAGTGTATTCCAGTTCTTCATCTCAAATTAGGCTACTCTGAAATATTTTTTAATAGCTCCAGTTTGCCTCTTAAGAGCTGAATATCAATTTATAACATATATACCATTAGCAAAGGACTGACAGAGGAAGAAATACAAACCATTAACTCCTTCTGCAACTCTTTTACTGGTAACCATCAACGAAGCTGAAATAAAAATATATATATCGTGGGAAGAGAGATGAGCTCCAGCTGGGAAAAAGCGAAGTAGCTTCAGGATAGATGACATGTGAGCTGAGCCTTGAAAACTAAGTAGGATCTGTACGTGCACACGTGGAAAGAGCATTTCAATGAAGAGAGAAGATAACCAAAGGCACAGCTGAGAGAAAGAGGGATATATGCACAAGAAAGTATTGCTGACAAATAGCATGTTAGCATTTAGGGTGGACAAGAAAGGGTTTTACATGCCACTGAGGAATTTGGAATCTCTTCATTAAGAATTGAAAGCTACTAATGATCACTGTAAGTCTGTTCTAGAATTCCTCTCAATCTCATTTCTTTTCTAAAAACAAGTTAGATCTCACTATAAGATTCTAGAACTCAAGAATTTGAAGCATAAGTTTTCTGTAAAGGTAAGTGGTCAGAAAAGGGTTTGAAATATGGAAGACTGAAAATCACTGTAGGAAACAGACCCCTGATATGTCTCCCTTACCCAGGCAAAGAACCAGAGATTAACTCACTAGAAAGGCTGACCTATAAATAGTCACAATCTGGGACACCAGATACAGAGGATGGTGGGAGTGAAGCACCACAATGAAAACAAGATTAAGTGAAAAAAATGAACACGACCCTCATTCTCTTTCCCCTCTTGGTTTTCCAAATGCTAATAACCAGGCTTGTTCTAACCTGAATTACACTAAAGGATTCTTCTGATTTTCCTTAATGAAAAGGACTACCGATACTGACATTGGTGATCCCACAACTAACTGGCTGACATTTCCTACATAAACTATGGTAAAGTTCACAAGTCACTTTACAAACACCAGAGGATCACCCAAACTTAAGGACCAAACCCACATTTAAGGAAAGCCAACAGCAAAGACAGAAAAAGCTCAGAGGAAAGAGAGTGTCAAAGCAACTATAACTGATATCCTAAAGAAAGATAATGCATCTGAAACAAGAAGAGAAAGTTTTCAAAAGAAATATTCTGAGAAACACCTCTTAAAAATTTTAAAAATGGCAAAGGTTGCAAATATAACAGGAAAATTGGATGATCAAGTTAAGGCAATCTCATGGAAAGTAAAATAAAGATATGAGAACATAAAATAGGAGAGGGGCGCCTGAGTGGCTCAGTCAGTTAAGTGACTGACTTCGGCTCAGGTCATGATCTCAGGGTCCTGGGATCAAGCCCTGTGTAAGGCTCAGCGTGCAGCAGGGAGTCTGCTTCTCCCTCTCCCTCTGCCCCTCCCCCCTGCTCATGCTCACTCACTCTCTCAAATGAATAAAACAAATATAAAATAGACAAAAGATAAAACTAGAAGATCAGTCCCCACAGTCCAACATCACAGCAGATTCCAAAGGTGAAGACCCTGAACAAAGGGGATGGAATTATGAGAGGAATACAAGAGGGCCCACTAAGTATCCCTACACAATGAATGAAAAGACACATCCAAACCAAAGCACAGCGTCTTGAAATTAAAAACACTACATAAAAAGATCAGAAAGGCTTCCTAAGGCGGGGTGGGGGGCTGGGATCTGGTCTCAGAGGAGAAATCTGAATGAGTTCAGACTTCCCAGTGGCAGTACTGGCAGGTAGCAAAGGCTTTCCACTTCTGAGTGAAAATGATTGTCAGCCTGGAATTCCATAGCTAATAAAACTATCAGACCAGTGTGAAGGTAAAATAAAAATATTTGCAGACATGTAAGGCTTTTTCAGGTTTCAGACTATTAAAATGAGAGCCAAAAAAGAAAAAAACAAAAACAAGAAAGAATATCACAGAGGACTCAAGAACCAGGTTGTCTAACAAGGAAGAGGCCAGGAAATTCCCAGCATGTGGTGCAGGCAAATCTCAGGATGAGGAATGGGGAGCCAGCCCACAACCTGCACATGTGAGAAGAGGGAATTCACCAGATGAAGTGGCTCAAAACACGGGAACTGAAACTTGATGGGTTTCATCTACTAAGAGGAACGTCACAGAGTACAGGAACGAATTAGTGGCACACAGAAAGCTAGATAAAAGAAAAATGCTGTTAAGTGCAGGGAAAACCAAAATCACCCCAGAAAGAGATGCAGCACAATACACTTCATAATCCAGCTGTAACCAATTCAGTAAGAAATGAAAACACAACATGAATTCAACCAAACATGATGGTCCAGGCATAGTGTGAAGATGAGGGAGGGAGAGCTGCGTGCACTGTGGGCAAGAAGCTGCCACTCTCCCATGCAGCAAGTCAGCACACATCTCACAACTGGGAAATCTGAAACAAAGACAAACTCTGCAGCATAGAAATGACTTTTTTAGAAATGTGGGGCTAACAGGTAAGTACCATAGAAACTAGTTGAAAGTGGCTGTAGCAAAGGAGGATGCAGGGTGTAAAAAGGAGAGAGAGACGGACATATTTTATTAGTTTTTCGTCGCTTGCTTTTTCAAAACTAGAAAAAACATATTAAACTTTTAAAAATTACAAAAAAGACAATGTAATTGCTGTCAAACCTTTCACTTACCCTGGCAGTAATTGTTCCATGCTTTTCTCCTTTATTGTTTATCATACGAATACCCGCAGCCTGAAACATGTCCTTCATTTGAGCAGGGGTAGCAGTGGTAGCAAAATCCACATCTTGAGGTTTTACTCCATTTAATAAATCCCTCACTGCTCCTCCTGCTATTCTTAATTCATGATTTTCTTTGACAAATAATTCTGAGGAGAAAGAATATATTTTACCTCAGTTTATTTACGAATTACAGAAGTACAAGGTTTTTCCAATCTATTAGGGACAGCAGAAATTATTTAACTAGACTTTTCATATAAAAATTAGAACAAGGCCCACAGAAATGAAGTGACTTACCTAGAGAAGAATGCCTCTCACAACTCTAAGAGCAGGGAACTTGCAGATCTTTTTCTTGGCAGATTCGGAAGATAATTCAGAATTATCTTCCGAATTATCTTCCACAATCCCCCAAGGTCACCGATATACATTTGAATTATAACCAAAAAGTGAACAATTCTGCTTTTTCTCCAAGTTTATGTGCATACTTCAGAAACGTGAGGTGTTCTTAAACATATTTCTCTTTGTGTACTGATGCCGAGGCTATAACGTTCATGCATGAAACTATGAAACTGTCAAACAACATTAGTCTATCACCCCAGGTATGATAACGTTACAGCTAAGAATCCCTCAAGAAATAATCTGCATACAATGTTTATTTCTGCTCCTGTCTGTGCTCTAGAAAAGACCTAGGAAAGCTCAAACTACTGTGAGGGCCTCAATATAGGAGACCCAGAGTGGACTCCTCTAGGTACAAGATAAGACAAAGTCCATTGTTAATTACTCATGACCAAAGGACATCATATGGCACCTAGGGAGAATGACATCCAGAAACTGGCCTTATACAACCGCCTGAGCCTTGGTATTGCCAAAAGGTGGCCTGGCACCCACAACTGGGCCCTGATATTCTTCTGTTGAACCCAAACAATGTCAGAGAACATCTACATCAGACAAGTCCACTCGGTGACCATGATGGATCGGTTAAAACAAGACAACTAGTAATCCTGTCTGAACACAGAAGACATGAATACTATCAAAGACACCACCTTATGACAATTAATAATATGTGTGACTTCTCCTTATTTATCCACCGGTTAACAGAGCACATAGCGCCGTGTTTTCACCTTCTAGGTAAGAATTAAGACACCCATCACAGATTTATCCTTGCTTCCTGATACCTGCTAACCCACGGGAAAACTGTACTTCTTATACCCACCCCAAAATACGATACAAGCACAAACCCTACAAGAAGTCCTTCCTAAAAACCTTTGGCTGAGGTACTCCAAGGTTCTCCATTGGTCAGTGTTCTCCTAACAACTCACCTGGTCTCCGGCTGGAGGGCACTAACCTGAGCACTGAGCTAAATACATCAGAGTTCTGGCACCCCTCCTCACAAGCTCGTATGTCAACCTCCGTCCCCGCCCTAAATCTGTGCTTGCGCACTCTCTTCCTCTTACTTACCCTCCCTAAGCCTTCAGCCCAACTCTCCGGAGACCACCTAAAACGATCTGCTCCAAAGTAATAAATGCTCCCTCCATTTACCTTCCAACCTAAATTTTTAGCTGTCCCAGACCATCCTAAGTCCTTTCCAAGAGTATGTGTTGTTCATCTTCCTTTCACTCCACATTGCTGATCAAGTCCTACTGACTATATGTCCCTATTAAGGGTTCCTTCATATAGGGTTCATGGTCTCTTAAAATATAAAAACCATGTATGGTAGTCAAAAAAAACCAAAAAACAAAAACAAAAAACCATATATGTTAGTCCGGTTTTCATGAGATTTATAGAGGTCCATGACCCAAAAAGTTAAGGACTGCCAAACTATTTCTGGACTCTATCCTCATTTCTCCCTAGTTCAGGGCCTCTTCATCTCCTTCCTGAACAAGAGTGCTCCATCAGCCCCCTTAAATCCAGCTTCCACCATCTAGACAGAGGGTTCTAAATCACTCGTTTGATTAGGCTCTGCCACTGTTCCTCTGACTACTCCCAGCACAATATCCACATTTCCACAGTACATTATACAAGGGCCTCCTGACCCAGTTCTGTCTCCTCTCTCACTAATCTCTGCATCGCACTTTACACTCAAACTCTCCCTGGAGTTTCTCTCTGTAACTTTGCTTGCAAAGATCACTTCACCCAAACACCTTCCCAACTTACTCACCTCGCTAAGCAGCTGGCCATCAAATGTCTTGGTGAACAACCTACACCAGAAAGACATTTTGCATGTCAGTCACTCATACCTAAACCGAACTTTCAGGATTTCATACCACACAATCTCATCTATTCTACCCATTTTCCTCTGTTTTTCTAATGCTGGTCATGACCACTAAATTGACTTTAAGGTCCACTAGTGGGTTACTACCCACAATGAGGAAAACACTGACCTAGCACATCCTTATTCATCTTTTGTGATTCAGTTTAGGAAGCCTCTCCTGATGGTGGAGTTAAATCAATTTCTTCTAAGCTACTAGAGGAGCCTATTTTTTATGCATACTAATTATATTAAAATTACCTGTTCATTCTCAAGGTAGAATGCCTATCTTATCTTTACACCAATGTGGCTCACAATGGAACCTAACTGTGATATCCCTGCTTCAAAAAAAATTCAAAAAAAAAAATCAGACTGACCTCATTGGGAAAGTATTTTTGAAAGATTTTCTTCCTTCAATACAGTAAGAAACTATTTTGAAATGCAAAAAATGAGTAAGTTTTACTCTCACTTGAACCTACTTTAACAGGATGAAGAAGGTCAAAACTGAATACAAGATAACTTGTTTTAAGATTCTCATGCTAGCTTGACCAAAATTTTAAGTTCAAAGTCACCTAATAAATTAACTGCATTACACAAAGAGATACAGAATTCAAAGTAATCTATTCATCATTTTGATTAACCATATGGAAATAGATAACTATTTCCCAAAAACTCATAATTCTAACATAATACAACTGAGAAAGGCGTATTAAGGCAAAAAATGTGCCCATGTGGAACAGTCATAAAAACTGTAAGAAATGTAATGATTTTATGCTGACCTAAAAGAGTCGGGATTATCAAGCTTACACACTCCTTTTCCTCAATTACTGGTATCGTCAATCTCACAGAAATCCACATTTCAATGAATTTTGTAAACTACATACTCAGGAAAATAATACCTAATGCAGCTAAATTTAATTGTAAATTTAAGCCTGAGACTCAAGAAATGCATAATTTCATCATTCCAAAGCTATTAATCTGCTTCAACTGCCACAGCTGATAATAAGCTATTTTTAATTATTATCGTTAGCACTCCAAAGGACCATGATATATGTCAGAAAATTTTTATGATTGTCTATTTTTTTATTTTAATTTTCAATCTAATTTTCATTAACTTCTTCCCTTTACAAGTTTGAATTTTAAGTTTTGGAGGCAGGGGGTACAGAAAGTGTAACTAAAATGGGAAGACCATTTTATGTCATGACTATTCCTACCAAAAAATAAATGATCTGTTCTTCAGTTTTTCCAGGATCTCCCAAACTTGAAGAGTGATCAGGTGTTCCTACTGTCCCAAAAGTTACAATGATGGCTTTATGACAGCACATACCAAAGCAGTTAAAAGCTAACCACTGAGTGCTAATGCCCAGTATTTCTTACGGACCACAGCCAAGCGACCAAAGAAGTCCTGGCTTGTCCACTAACCACGTTAACTTAGGAAAAAAAATCAATGTTTGGAACTTCAGTCTCATGTATAGAATGGAGAAAAAAATCTCGTATGCCCCTAGCATGCCTCTACAATGTTGTCCTCAAGCAAAAGTAAAAATAAATTACATGAAATAAACTGACAAATTATAAAATCCTATACAGTGTACAGATAATCCACTACCCTAGCTTCCCTAAATCTTGCATACTGGAAACTAATTTCACATGTGGCAAAGCACCTATTAGGATTTGAGAACTGGTATAGTATTCAACTGCACAGTATTATCACCATACAACAGGCATCATTTGTGTGTATGTGTTTGTATGTTGTTTTCATGCAGAACATCTTATTTTACCAGAACACGCAAGTCTTTAGAAAGCAGCAAAAACCAAATAAAACCAATTATTTGATTTTCTAACTGATGAGCTTTGCACTTTCCATTCTTGCCACTTCCACTCTAATCTAAAAAAGTCAACTTTAAAATATGTCCGTGCTGGGGCACCTGGGTGGCTTGGACAGTTAGGCGTCTGCCCTCGGCTCGGGTCATGATCCCAGGGTCCTGGGATTGAGCCCCACATCGGACTCCCTGCTGAGCAGGGAGCCTGCTTCTCCCTCTCCCTCTGCCTGCTGCTTCCCCTGCTTATACACTGTCAAAAATAAATAAAATCTTTAAAAAAAAAAAAATATGTCCGTGCTACCATTTGCCAGGCTTTGGAGGACAAGACCCTGGGGGTAAATAGACCTGTATCTTCCCACCATATTGAGTTTCTAAATCCATAGGATTTCACCTCTCAAGATGGAGACAATTCAACTCTTGAGGTAAGGGTTAGTCAGCCAAATGAATTTGTTAAAATAAAAGATGTTCAAGAACCTATAGCAATCAATATCCAGAGCCTTGTTTCCAAAAGAAAAATGCAGAAGGACCTGAAACAGGCCACCAAGAGTTAATTACCTACATCTAAGCATTTGGCACCTTTCTTCCAAGAGCCCTCTTGCAACTGAAGGTGGGAAGATTAGGAGCTGGGAAAGGTATATAAAGAAAGAACAAGCTTGAATTCAACTCAGATTTGGAGCTTCTAAACTTGTGCTGTTCAAACAGTAGGCATATATGGTTACTGAACTGAGCGCTTGAAATGTGGCGAATCTGAATTAAGATGGTCGGGATGTGCTAACCACCAGATTTCAAGGACTTGCAAGGAAAGATGTGAAATACCTCATTAATAATTTTACATAAATTTTATATTAAAATGGTATCTTAAATATAGTTGACGAAATGCTATACTAAAATAATTATTAAAATTAATTTCACCCATTTCTTTTATCTTTAATGTGGTTACTAGAAAAGTATACATTGCACATGTGACATATTTCTATTGGATTGGAGTTTCTAGCATTTTTCACTGTAATTACAACTCAGAGTGAAGTATCAGCTTTAGACCCTCCACTTCAAGATCACATGAAGAATCTATATGAATCAACAAGTTCTGGACCACTGACCTCTGACATGTATCTAAAAAATCATCTAAATTCAAGAATAGAAAAGTAGCTCTGGGAATAAACTAATACAAGGAAAGTCATCTCAACGTTCCTCCACCTTTTGCATACAGAATTAATGGAGTTCTTACAAAAATTTATAGATGCCCATCCTCCCCAGAGATTCCAGTTCAGTAGGTCAGGGTGGTACCCCAGGATCTGTGTATTTTAAAAGCTCCCCAGGTGAACCTAATGGACAGCGAGGGTTGCATGCCACTGTATAGGTCACGTTTCTACAAACACATACCTTTGTGTATTTCTTAAGGGCCACTAAAATACCAGAGGCTTTGGAATGCAGCTGTGTGGCTGCTTCAGTAACAGCATAGCTGATTCTGAGGACCAATGTAAGGAATGATAAGACTGTGACAAGCAACATGAAGCTGCTGTAATCAGGGACTTAGCTTAAGTCATTTCCTGTGCCCCTTCTAGGTAAGTTTTGTATGTGCACAAATGGAAGGGACTCCTATTTCCTTCTGCCTTCAGTTCATTCAGAAAGCACTTAGGACTAAGGAGGAAATATAGCTTGGTGATTACAAGCTGGGTACTGAAAGCAGACTACCCAAGTTCAAAATGCAGTTCTCTAGTTATTATAAAAATGTTGGCACATTCCTAAGCCTCTTCCCTCATCCACAAAACAAGAAAAAATGTATCTACTCATTTAGTGGGCCCAATTCTGTAACCTATCTATAAAGTAGTTAGCATAACATACAGAAAAGCCATGCTTTTTAGTTGAAGTCACTGCCTGAATTTTTTATGTTTGGCTATAGTTTGGGATTACCCATAGTAAACCTTCTTTTGTTAGCTCAACAGCCAAAAAACAAAAACAAAAACAAAAAACCCCTGAGTGTTGACTAAAAAACATTAAGCCTCCGTTTCTCCATTTACACGGCCTTCCAAAGCAAGAAAGCATCCTAATCTCTCACCTGTCAGACTCTTCAATCCTGCTGTGAACAGTGACTGGAATTCTGGAGACTGCAACTTCATTGTAAATAGATACTGCTTGAAAAGGCACAGCCTACTCCAACTACAGCTCAGTAACGGCCTGCGCCAGGGATTCAGGCACCTCAGCATCTGGGGGCAAGGTCACCAACCACACATCTACAAGACAAACATGCATGTACAATAATGAAATTTACAAGTGAAGGAAAATAAAGGGATTTACTGCAATTTTATTTAACATCTGAGAGACAATCTCCTGTTCAGATGAAAAAAACTGAAACCAGTGACAATTTAAGGGACAGTCACCTATGACTAGATCTATGCTTGTGGCTATGCAGTTTTGTACTCCTGAAGCGCTTACTGCTATAGTCGCGTTATCACCTTTTACTGTTACAGTGCTCGCTGGAGAGGTGGGTTTCAGTTAAAGCTTGAGGGGAGCAGGCTGCCAAGAACAGTGGTTGCAGAAAAGGAAACTCAAAACACTAGAAGAAGACCTGACCTCCTCCAAAACACGGCACAGTCACATGTTTTAACACTGTACTTCCCCACCTGCACCCGATATATGACCCAGGGACATTTCCCAGGCATTGAAAAACATCTTCCTAAGACTTGTCTTAGCTGCCCGCTTTTTCCCTCATTCACCATTCCTTTCCATCCTGCCGGCTCCTGAGTCCCACCCACACCGGTTTCCACGTGAAGTGGGTCTCCGTGAGGGACCGACAGGATTTCAAGTGGCCCCGACGGAAACCACAAGTGAGTCATTCCTTTCCGCGGGAAGCAGGTTTCAAAAAGCGGCGTTTCCCACCAGGGGGCGAGACGAGTTCTCCTCACCCAGACCACGTGGGGAAGAAAAACCATGTCCTTCCAACTCCGCCTAAAATCAGAAAAACCCGCTGAGGACCCTGGCCTTGAAGTGGCGTGTCCCGCCTCTCACTCCAGGTGCCAGACCGAAAAAGCTTAGTGAGACCCTCGGGGGGCCGGCCACAAAGAACGGAAAGTGCCCGGGGAAGCCCGATGATTCAGCCTGCAGTTACTGGAACGTGGCAGGGACGCGGCCCCACGACCTGCACATCGAGCTCTACTCTGCAGTGGAGAGAAGGCCTCTCACCGCTACAGGTTCGCACCCTCCCCAGGCGGCCCCCATCGCCCCACTGCCCTCCCTGCGGCGCGCACCCGCACGCCCCCCGTGCACCCGCTCACCGGCCCCACCGCCGCCGTCGTCGCCGCCACCCCGCGCACTTCCGGACGGCGGACGCCGTGACGTCACCGCCGCGCGCCGGTCGTCAGCGAATGGGGAAATCGCAGCGGGGCGTGGGTGGGGCCCGAGTGGGCTCTCTCCGCGGCGCCTGCCTTTCTACTACCCGGCTAGAAGCAGAGCGCGGTTTTGCCGCGCTTCTGAAGGCAGAGTACACCGCAGGCGGTGTTCCTGGGGAATTCGAGACACCAGGGTCTTTTATTTCTTTTAAGTACATCTCCCTACACCTCTCTCTTGCCCTGAGGTGGTCAGACGCCCATCTGCGTTGCATGCCCGTGTGATCTTGGGCAAGTGTCACTCTTTTCCTTTGTAGAATGAGACTGTCAATAAAACCTATTACAGGGGGTCGCCAGGCTTTAATGTCATGTTACTTCCCAGCAAGGAGGGAGTGCTCAGTGAGTGTTATTACTCTTGCCTTTCCTCATGACCTAAGCGGAGGGTTTCAGACACACTAGTTCTAAATTTAAGCCCTCTAGTTCGTTGAAATTACTGGGCATATTTTATTTTCCCACCTGGTTTTTGTGAAGTCTGAAGGCTATTGCAGCTGCAAAATGAAGAACTTGGATTTGATTCAGTTCTTTCGTTTTTTCCAAGGCTGAGAAGAGTAAATAAAGTAGCAAAGGAGTAGGAGTAAAGCCCTAGATCCTTAAAAAGGGACACTTCCAATTAATTTGCCAATTATCTTAAAAAAAAAATAAAAAAATCAGGGCACGTGGGTGGCTCAATAAGTTAAGCGTCTGCCTTTGGCTCAGGTCATGATCCCAGGGTCCTGGGATGGAGACCTGCGGTTGGACTCCCTGAGTCAGCTTGTCCCTCTGCCCTTTCACCAGCTCATGTGCATACTCTCTCGCTCTCTCTCAAATAAATAAAATCTTTAAAAATAAAATAAAATCTGCATCATATGTTTTCATTAAGTGTAGTCTTAATAGCACTGTAATTTCCCTAAAATTTTCCTAGGAAAATTCATGTGCCATAGTATTTCTGTGGTTTCCAATGATCAGCCCTCTTAGCTTCAGGGCTATTAGGTATCCCATTTTGAGAACAGGCCTAGTTTCCCAAGTTGCTGTTCAGAGGCCAAGCATTATATTTCTTCATGTGGCAATGAATATATTCATATATCCTAATTAGCCTGTGCAAGAAAAAAAATAGAAAATTCAATGTGAAAGAGCATAGCACTACAGACATAAGACATTAACAGGATAATAGAAAACATTATGGACAATTTTACTGACAATTTGACACTGAGGATGAAATGGACAAATTCTTTGAAATATACATCAAAACTGAAACAGGATGAAATTTAAAAATCTAAATAGTCCTTTACTACTAAAGAAATTGAAGTTTGTTCAACTTCCCACAAAGATAATTCCAGGCCCAAATGGTTTTAGTGGTCAAATTTATCAACCGCTTAAGGAAGAAATAACACCAATCTTCCATAATTTTTGTTCAGAAAATAGAGTAGGAAACATTTATCCTCTAATTTGGGGCCAGCATGACAACTGATAACCTGAAATAGATAATAACCAAAAAAGGATTTATACATCAATATCCACATGAACCTAGAAACACATATATTTAATGAAATATTAGCAAACCAAATCCAGGAAACTGGATTTTGATCAAGTTTGGTTTATCCCAGGAATGCAAGATAGATTTAATATTTAAAAACCAATCATTGTTATTCACCCTATTAGCAGACTAAAAAAGAAGACTGTATGATCATCCCAATAGGTGCAGAAAAAGCACATAAATTCCACACTTATTAATGACTATAACTCTTAGAAAACTAAGATCATGGAACACTACATCAAAAACTAGCAATGTGTTGTATGGTGACTAACAAAATTAAGTTAAAAAAATAAAATTAAGAAAAAAAGAAAGAAAACTAAGATTAGGAGACGTCCTTAATCTGGTAAAGAGCATCTATGAAAAATGTACAGCTGCCATCATACTTAATGGTAAAATATTGACTACTTTTCCTCTGATATCAGGAACAAAGATGCCCAGTCTCATAACTTCTTTTCAATATTTTACCATAGTTCATAAACATTAACATGAGAAAAAGAAAAGATGTCATAATCGGGAAAGAAGCAACACTGTCTTTTCAGATGACATAATGGTTTGCATAGGAATTGACAAAACTACCTGAATAAGTGGATCTAGAGGTCTTAGGATTCAAGGTTAATAATTTAAAAACAAACGTATTTTTATTCAGTGGCAGCAAATATAAATAAGTTTTAATATTTTAAAGATTTTATTTATTTATTTAACAGTGCACAAGCGAGCGGGGGTGAGCACAAGCAGGGGGAGCAGGAGACAGAGAAGCAGGCTCCCCACTGAGCAGAGAGCCTGATGTGGGACTGGATCCTAGGACACTGGGATCATGACCTGAGCTGAAGGTAGACACTTAACCAACTGAGCCACCCAGGCGCCCCAATAAGTTTTAATTTTAAAGCATTTTTTTAAAGATTTTATTTATTTGACCGAGAGAGACACCGTGAGAGAGGGAACACAAGCAGGGGGAGTGGGAGAGAGAGAAGCAGGCTTCCTGCTGAGCAGGGAGCCCAATGCGGGGCTCGATCCCAGGACCCCAAGATCATGACCTGAGCCTAAGGCAGACGCTTAATGACTGAGCCACCCCGGCACCCCAGTAAGTTTTCATTTTAATAATAGCTTTAAGTATAGAGATACAGGTTATAATATAGAAACAAATGTAGCAGAAGAAGTTATATGGTTAGCAACCAATCATGTAAAGACAGGCAACATCATCAGTTATTAGGGAAATACAAATTGAAGCCACAGTGAGATGCCATTACATACCTATTAGAATGTTCCAATCAAAAACCTGGGATTATCAAGTGCTGCCAACAATGTAGATCAACTGGAACTCATACACTGTTGATAAGAATATAAACTGCTACAACTACTCTGGAAAACAGTTTGGCAGTTTCTGATAAAGTTATATCTACTCTTAATATACAACCCAGCAAACCTACTGCTTGATATTTAACGGAGAGAAAAGAAAACTTACGTTCACATTTAAAAATGTATGTGGGGACACCTGGGTGGCTCAGTCGGTTAAGTGTCTGACTTGATTTCAGCTCAGGTCTTAATCTCAGGGCCATGAGTTCAAGTCCTGTGTTGGGTTCCATGCTGAGCGTGGAGCCTACTTTAAAAAAAAAAAAAGGGGGTATGCAAATGGTAGTAGTAGCCTTACTGATAATCATCCAAACTTGGAAATAAGCCAAATTTCCTCCAACAGATGTATGGATAAGTAAACTGTGGTACATCCATACAAAGGAATATCACTTAGCAATATAAAAGAGTTAACTCCTGATATATATCTAAATCTAAAATAAAGAAAGCCAGACTCAGTTGGCTACATAATGATTCTATTCATAAGACATCCTGGAAGAGGCAAAATTATAGAGACATAAAACAGCCCAGTTGCCAGAGGGAACAGCAGATGGAAGGAGGGGCTCACTACAAAGTGGCGTGAGTGAAATTTCGGGGGTGATGGAATGCTTCTATATCTTGATGGTGGTGGTGAGTGCATGACTGTGTCTGTCAAAACACACGAACCGTACACTAAAAAGGGTAAACTTTCCTTTATGTAAATTATACCTGAAAAAACCTGACCATTTTCTTTCCTTATATTAGCCAAAAACTAGAACATGAAAGTTTAAAAATATATATTTAAAAAGGCTCTCAAGAAATGCTTATTCAAATAAATTCAACTATTAAAGCATTTCCATATGAAGTAGAATGAAGAACTTTGAGGCCATTAAACTAAAGCGGAAGAGAACTCTGTAGACAGATGCTGCTCAACCTTCCCCCCAGGACAATGGTGAGAACAACCAAAGCAATACAAAGTCCTTTCTGCTGCACACAAGAGGTTTACTATTATCTCTTAGTATAGACCCATCCTGAGGGAAATAGAATTTTACCTGTAAAGGAACTGACATTTATTACACGGAACTCCTACAGGAAGTATTCTTATTGTATATTATCTACCCCCAAGTAAATATGAACAGAGGGGACTGTTAGGTAGGGCAAGTTTCCATTATACTATAGAAACACCACTGCCGTGAGTATTATTCTGCAGTTAGAATGCAACATATTAAAAAGTAAAGAAAATTAGATAAAAACAGCTTAGAATTATTTATTGTATATACAAACTTCAAGTCTTAGTTACCAATGCTGGTTTGAAAACCCATTAATGTTGGTTGGTATGCACTTCAGTGCTGGCTAAAGACTCCCTCAGGAGTGGACAGCTTTCAACTTTCTTCATAGTGGATCAGATTTTTTTATTCCAGTTTATACATCTAGTAGCCAAAATGTGGCTCCCAAATGTTCAGTTGTCTCTGTTCATCTAAGTTTTGGTTGTGTTCCTTTAAAACTGAATCATCTCTGCAAATCAGAGAGAAGTAACAGACTATGTGAAACAGTTGTGAATGCAATGCTGTTTTCATCCATCCATCCATCCATCCATCCAATATTTGTTTAGTGTCTACTGTGTGTCCATGGCATGTGTGAATGCTCACAGTAATGATAAGTCTACATAGTAATTTATACCATGCTTAGAACGGTGACAAGCACTGTATTCTTATTAATCCTCAGGAACATGCAATGAGGTATTTTCCAATGAGAAAACATAAGCACAGAGAGGTTAATTTGTCTAAGGTCATACAGGTAGTGAGGAGCACACACAGAATTCAACTCAAACATTCCGACTCAAGATCACTAGAGTACTCTGATGAAGCTGAAAAAGCAGGCAGGACAAGATCCTGTAGGGCTGGGCACCTCACATGGTGACACTTGAACTTCATTTTAATGGTAATACGAAAGAATTGAAGGTTTTTCAGGCAGGAGTTTTCATAAACCTACTGTATTTTCATGTGACTAGTCTGGCTATAGCATGGAAAATGGGTGGAAAGGCCTGGTACATAAACTTATGTTCTCCCAGTTCTGGAGGTCACAAGTCTAACATGAGTCCAACAGGCCTGCATTCCCTCCGGAGGCACTTGGGGAGAATCTGTGTTTGTTTTCTTTTTGGTCCTTCCCAGCTTCGAGAGCTTCCCTCCCTCCATCTTCAAAGCCAGCAAACATAACATCTTTTCTTTCTGACCTTCTTGCTACCTCCTTATATGGACCTCTGATTACACTGAGCCCCTTGGATAATCCTGGATAACC